TTGAACTGTTCTGTAACAGTGTTGTAAATACAACTTAACCACTGATTTCTAGTCATGTCCTCTTTTGGAAAACCAAACAAAGTAGTTTCGCTTTCACAATGAAACACACGGCGGCCTAGAGTGAGCGGAGCCCGGCTTGAGTGAGCGGCGGCGGGCGAGCTTGAGAATGGCGCGGTCGGTGGATTCGACGAAGGAGCGTCCGGCGGGCTTGCGGCAACCACATGTGACGACCCTGGGCTGGACTCTGCTTCGTCCACGGTGAAAGCCGATCCGGCCATCCACAGCGCCATGTTGATGTATTTCCTCAGCGACCAGCATGGATCAGCTCCAGGCATGACGAAGTGGATATCATCCTCTTTTGGAAGACCAAACAAAGTAGTTTCTTGTAATAATATTTCACAATATTACTGTTTTTACTGTATTTTTGAGCAAATAATTGCAGCCTTGATGAGAGGCTTCTTTCAAAAACATTAATAATCTTACCCACCCCACACTTTTGAACAGCAGTGTCAAATAAAATATTTGAATATGCCTATGCCCAAAACCGCTGTTGAATCCAACATTCAAATGTGCACAATGATGCCAAAATAGTCAAATGTTTAAAAAAATGGCAAATATTTTATTTACTTTTTATAAATGTACCACATCATCAGTAAACAGATGGCAGTTAATGTCAATAAGACCGATCATAACACGAGGAGGCGTCTGTCCTTCATGCATTCACACACACTCAGCAGTAAGATGACAGTGATGATGCTAATCTGAGCTCAGGTGAGTGATCTGCACGTCTACAGGTCAGACGCTGTATTGAGGTCAGTCATAATTTGTGTACTGGGACCATCACAATATGTCATGTCATGGATATTTATATTTATTCTTTTTTATTTTTTTATTGAATATGTTCACATTCTGATCGTCTGTCTGAATTGTTAATTTCTTGTCAGTAGACGGCCACTGCTATGATTGGTTAACGTCATTGCGTAGGAAATAGTATCAACACCCCCTCACTACTGCGAAAAGGGCATGGCAGTTACATTTGATTGTGTTGAAATGAACTGAACGGAGAATAATAATTTTAAGTTTGTTCTAAAATATTTTCCATCTAATTTGTTGTGATACTTTCAATAAGAAATTCAAAGTGTGATTATTTTATTGGTTTGTAGCTTTTCACTTCAGATTTATTACATTTCATGAAATTAAAAAGTCTAATTTTAATACAAAAAAGTATTTAAAATATTTCAAAAATAAGTCATTTTCGGTTTTGGTTTTTCAGCCAAGTGCATCCTGAATTTTTCAGTTTTGGCCCAAATTGTAATTTCGGTGCATCCCTAATCCTATATAACATTCTATGGACTCAAATTATTAAAATTAACACACATTTAAAGTAAGAGATATACATATATATATTTTAAAATATGACATATTATATGCAACAAATTAACAAACAAGTTTTAAGTTAGATTAAAGACAAACAAATAAAACAAATAATTAGATAAAACAAATGAAAGATATTTAAAATATATATATTTTTAAATGGCCTATTTTCATGACAAGTACAGAGTATATCAATACAAAAATAAATGTACAAACAAATTAATAATCATTTAAAGGGAGATTAAGAACAGACATACCAGATATATCAGATTCATTTACATAATGGAAAATAAAACAACTAGATGACGAATAAAATAAAAGGTAAAGAAAGGACTATTTTCATGCCAAGAACAGGTTAAAATGGATACAAAAAATGGGTTTATATATTTAAAGTGAGTTTAAGGCAGACAAATAAGATCATTCATTTACATAGAAAAAAAACCAATTAGATAAAAAAAAATCTATTTTCTTGGCTAGAACAGGTTAAATCGATTTAAAAAAAGGTATATAAACAAATTAAAAAGTTAGATTAAAAAAAAGTACATTAAATTAAATACTTTACATATCCAAAAAATAAAAAAATTCTCAAAGTTTCCCCATTGACTAAACATGTCCTTCACAGCAGCGGGTCTCGACCTTTGTTGAGTACTGGACCCCCATAATATCTCAAACATTTGCTCTTTTTTACATTGACTATCACTCTATATAGACTAATACAATCAGATACAACAATAATTTCTCAAATATTTGAGAGACTGGATGCTTTCAACTTATTTCCTATTGAACTGTCATCAACTGAATTTCAGGTCAAACTATTTAAAATATAGTGAATTGAGCTACAAACTCGATCATAATGCACAATGTTTCCATCTAACACGTATTTTGAGCAGTGTTGGGGAAAGTTACTTTTAAAAGTAAGGCATTACAATATTGCGTTACTCAATAAAAAAGTAACTAATTACGTTACTTAGTTACTTTTTATGGAAAGTAATGCGTTACGTTACTTTTGCGTTACTTTTAAATCCGGACAGGGCTTGAACTCAGATATTATCTTGTTTTATCTTATTATAATGTGTTACTTTACTAGTTACTTGAAAAAAGTAATCTGATTACGTAACTCGCGTTACTTGTAATGAGTTACCCCCAACACTGATTTTGAGGTGCAGCTCGTCATATTAATGTTGTGTTTCACTAGTTAGCAGTAAACCGGTTACCTCACCTGAAGATGTTCCTAGATTTGTGTTGGGTGTTTGGACGCGGAAAGCAGTTCGGAATGGAAATATGGATATTTGAATTGTAAACATCATACTTTCTTCGCTTATTTCAATGAATGTCCTAAAACTAGCGAACTAAGCCAGTAGTAGTGCTGACAGTCGATTAAACACTCCTGAAGGCGTAAAAAAGAAGAAGAACAGACAAACTGATTAAATTGAGTGAGTCATTTAGGCCTACACTGGAACCGCTCCGATTGATTCAAACTAAAATACTTGTGTCTTCGATCATTCATTTCAAGCTATCCACTAGCAAAAACCAGTCCAAAAGAGCCATTCATTTCGAATTTCGACATCGCTTGCAATGATGTTAAGAAGCACATAGTGATGGGTGAATCCAACGGAGCTTTTCGAAACTATAGCGAATGTTTTGATTCAGATCGGGATTTCGGAGCGCGTATCGCGAATCATTTCTGGTTTCTTTTGTATTAAACAGTACAAAACATCAAACCATTAAGGCAGTACAGTTATAAAAGCGAAACAAAGAAAAAAGAAAGAAAGTATACACACAAATGTGTTTGCAGGTTTTTTTTTTTTAAGTAATAAATTTACACCTTAAGAGGACATAGGATGAATATAGAGACAGTTTTGACTGCTTTAGGATTAACAGAGCTTTGTGTATATATATATATAGTATGTACTGTATATATAACAAATGTATATTATTTGCAGACAGCTTACCTTGCGCATTAAATCAGCCGCAGGCCAGCAAAAGAACTGAGAACGCGTTACAATCCTGACCAGAGGCGAGAAATCTGCGGAGAATCCGCTTGCCGGAAACAATGCAACTGGTAGATTTAAAGAAAATTGCTGCCTTTTGTCAAATAAATCATTGTACTTACTTATTCCTAACTCTTTAAGCTTTAAGTTACATTTCAAATGACAAGGGATCAACTTATAATCATGTTTTATCCCATGAACTTATTCTCTCAAATGGCCTGGGCATGCGGAGCATTCGCAGTTTATATGGACGGAACACCACTGATTATGTATGTATATATGTAGGCAATAGGCATATATACGTATATATTGTATATGTAAGTGTATATGTATATACTCATATTCTCTTTTGAATAGTCAAACAAATCCAGAAAAGAAAAAAAACATCTTTAAAACAGAAAGAAAGGTCACTTACAAAATGAGATTGGATTAACATTAAAAATTTCTGACCAAAATATATTTGTGTGGGCACATTACCAAAACAAGTGAACGGCATCTTCCTCAGAAGAGTGACACAAACAGCAACTCCCTTCAATGTCTGATTTATAATCACGTCCATAAGCTTTTTGTGAAATTTGGATTAATTCATTAATCTGCTTGACCTCTTCATATTTAAGGAGAGAACTATAGTTTCCAAAGTCATGTCAGTCTAAAAATAACAGGTTTTAAACCTAAGCCTCCAAAAAAAAAAAATTACAAAATGCAACACAAAAATTAAACCATTGAGAAATCAAAGTGATGTATGAGGGTTTATTGGTAAAAAAAATATTGCACAAAGAATGGACAGTAGCAGCCTACAAAAACATAAACCTTTTCTGTAGTTTACAGGACACTTAATTATAATCTCTTACAAGATAATAAATCACAAATAAGATTTAAAGGTAATGTGCTATTTAAACCCTGTGTGCTATTTAAAACCTGGTAAACTAAAACATTCACAATATCCACTAATAATGTTAGCTTCTTGAACCAAAAACATCATAATTTAGTTTTACAGCATTTTCCACCTTCTCGCTGACCAGTTTGTTTCTGGTACTGTACCTTTAATTTGTCAATCATAATTGGCTAGCCTTCTCGAATGTGAAATTAATAACAATGTCACCACCAAGTTGCTGAAAACTGTTCTTAGTTGGTGTCCCAGTCTGGTCTGTTTGCTAGTTTTACACCATCTTGGCCAGACTGGAAGACCAGTTTAAACCAGCTAAGACCATCAAACCAGCTTAGGCTGGTTTAAGCATTTTTTTTATGCTTTATTAATTTTTGTAAATGTAGAAGAATGTTGTATGTTAATGCAGTCACAATTGTGACCTTATAAGAATGGTGGTTTCTGAATGAACACATTTTCATAGCTTAGTTATCAAACGTAGAGTGTTACAGTTTTAGCTCAAATAATCAAACCAAGGTCATGTTTTCTATAATTTAAACATAAATACATACCCATTTAGGTCTGCTGGCTCCGAGTGATACACATGTTTGCTCTTCTCTGCAATGGTGAGGGTCCCAACATGGGTGGTCTCGCTGTGACTGACCCGGACCGGGTGATACTGACTCTTTGACTCAGTGGAGCCAGACGGCACATTCATCTGATTACTGGGTATGTTGCCGTTTGGTTCGGGGGTCTCAGTGAACAGCTTCTTGCGGACGGATTCAGGTGTGGAGGTTGCGATGACCTTGATCTCAGGCACAGGCGCAGGCGCAGACGTCTGTTTCAGATGGACACAGGCCTCAGAGTGGGCCAGCTGCAGTTTCTTCATGTGGTGAATGGCCACTGTAGCGTTGAAGGCTTGCTGGAGTGAGGAGATCATGATTTCAGACAGTCAGTAGAGTGCAGGAAACAACTAAACAAGCTAACAGCAAATGTTTACATTGAAACATGAAGTAAAGTTAAAAACAATCAATGCATTTTAATAGTGCACAAAAAATGAAATGTTTGGTTATGTATGCAAATGTTACTGTAAGAAGACCCACTTTTGCCATAATGTGCAGTATATAAACAGAGCTTACTATATTGTGTCCCATAATGCAGTGCATTAAGCTTATACTGTAAGTAGCAATTCTTTCTTTTTTCTGGGCTCATTACTTAAATTGCACCATACTGAGTATATACTGCACAGTATGCACTTAGCAGTGCGCTAATAATGGATCCTTTCCAAATATAATGGCTATTAAAACTATATTAAAATAGTTATAAATAAATATTGTGCAATATACACTACCGTTCAAATGTGTAGGTTTAGTAAGAATTTTAATGTTTTAGTCTCTTCTGCTCACCAAGGATGCAATTATTTGATCAAAAATACAGTAAAAACAGTAATATTGTGAAATATTTCTACAATTTAAAATACCTATTTTCTATTGTGATATATTTTAAAATGGAATTTATTCCTGTGAAGCAAAGCTGAATTTTCAGCATCATTACTCCAGTCGTCAGTGTCCACAGAAATCATTCTAATATGCTTATTTGCTGCTCAAGAAACCATATTTCTTATTATTTCATAATTTCTTCTCATTATCAATGTTGAATGTTAATTTTTTTCAGGATTTTTCATGAATAGAAAGTTCAAAAGAACAACATCTATTTGAAATAAAAAATATTCTGTAACATTTGAAATTACTTAATGTCACTTTTGATCAATTTAATTCATTAAAAAAAAAAAATACAAATTTCTTAAAAAAATAAAATAAAACAGCCAATCAACAATTTTTTTCAAAACTGCATGTGAAACAGAAAGCATAATGCAACAATAAATGTTTTAACAGTATGCTAAATTATTGTCAGATGACCTTATCAAGTTGCATGTTTAATTCAAAAAGCAGCATGCAGTTTTAAATAAAAATGGTTATCTTCATTTAATTTTGTGTACAGATGTGTTAAGATTTGGTACCGTATATCACTTCGGTAGTATAATAGTCAAAAAAGTCAAAGTCTACTTTATTGAAAATTCAATAAAAATGTATTGTCAATAATAGAAGGTAAAACTGAGTGTGTTGCATTGCATTGTGGGATTCAGACTGGTGTGCAATGTAACAAGTTAACATTCTCTGAAAAAAACATCAGAGTTTGAGTTAATCAACATCGTGGCCATTAAAAGGGGACACATTTATGTCAAATAAATCCTTTTTCTAGGCAAGTGATTTGATAACAAGAAAATACTTCACTGCAGCTTTAAATGTCTCAAAGTATAAATCAGATTGCTAAAACATACTGAAACTGGTCTGTTCCAGATTTTCACGCAGATGGAGCAATTAAAGGCAAGACCGGTGACCAAATCAGCCACTCATATTTAAAGCTGAATTGTGTAATCAGGCCGGAGGTCATCTGAAAAACCCAACTGAGACGAAACCACAGGAGACAAATTCTAATCCGAGAGTACACCGAGTTATGAAACATGTCCTCACCTTCCACTTGGACTTGGCAAAGTTTTTCTGGATCTGCTCACTGACGGAGTGGTAGATGTCCTGACTCCGGGCCGTCTTTCCTATAATCCTGCAGCACAAAGCTGGATTTAAAACCAGAGCTCATGGAAAACAGAAGGATTTTGTTTCCTGTTTTAACCAGACTCTAAAACAGGAATAAATTGTTTAATCCGAACAATTCTGGATTGTGGGGTTCTCTGGCCCAGCAATGAGATTTAATGAAGAGCAAATGGAGACTTTTGATTAAGTCTGAGAAAAAAGACCCATAACCTCATATGTGTCTCAGCTAAAGTTTCAGAAGACATCTCAACATTGTCTCAAACTGTGCTCAGATTTGCAAAGTCAAAGTTTGAGATCTCAATATGAACTCAGTGTCTCCCATCAAATTAAGTTTAGTATTATTATTATAAGTTTAGTATTATTTTTTATACTATTATAGAGTTAATTTTTTAAATAAGCTTTTTTTGTTTCATTAAAATTTAAGTTTTAGTCATTTTGTTATGCATTTTTGTCAGTTTTATTAGTTTGTGTTTTTTTAAATACTTTTATTTAACTTAATTTTTTTATTTGAGTTTTAGTAATTTTAGTACTTCAACTTCAACTTATTTCATTTCAGTTAGTTCCCAATGCAACATTTTTAATTTTAGTTACATTTTTTTAAATTTTACATTCATTTTTTTATTTAATTTAATTTTAATTTCAATTACCAACAAATAATTTTAATAATTTTAAATTTTAGTTTAATTTTTTCATCTAATGTATATATTTTGTTTCATTTTATTATTATTTTTTGCTTCATTTCAATTACTTAAAATAATTGTAAACAATTTTAAGCTTTTTAAGCTTATTTGTTCATTTAATATTAATATTTTATTTTATTTCTGCTTCATTTCAAATCACCGAAAATTATTGTTAATCATTTTAAGTTTTTTAAACTTACATTTTTCATCTCATATTAATATAGTATTTTATTTCTGCTTCATTTCAATTACCAAAAAATACTTAATTAATCATTTTAAGCTTTTAAGGTTATTTTTTCATCTAATATTTGTATTTTATTTCTGCTTAATTTTCGGACCGAAAATTATTTTTAATAGTTTTAGTTAGCAATAATGACAAATTATGACACAATACAATAATGACACTGCAAATTATCTGCACTATAATATCCATAATTTTATACCTTTATACTCTTCTGTGTCAACAATATCTCATTTGTTTTGTATTTCTGAGATGTCTGATACATAAACGAAACAAAGACCTCCATTAAGGCTCATAAGCTTTAAAAGAGTCGTGTGGTCACTCACCAGGGGTGTCCGAGAGCCTGTTCTGTATCATAACGCATTTTAGGATTCTTCTGCATCATGTTGCGGATGAAGTCCTTTGCTACAGAGATAATAATTATACATGAGGTTAAAGGCGTGTTTTACAGAATCATATGAGATGATTTAGCAGTAGGAAAGTATAGGATGCTAACCAGACTCAGAGATATCATCCCAGAAGGGTGAGTCGAACTCGTACTGCGCCTTCATAATTTTAGAAAAGAGACGAGTCTCCGTTTCTTCATAGAAAGGAGGATATCCACAGAGACTGTGAAGATACAGCAAAAGAAATGAATGGAAACTTCCAGCAGGGGCGCCATCTATCTGAGAGGCCTACAGGAGTACATTGTGGTGTTAAAAAGCATGGCTAAATGTCTTTGGTGAACCAGTGACTCATTCTGACTCAAACTGCTGCTAATCTGTCAGTTTTGACAAACAGCCAGCTTTAGGTTTCTAAATTAAGAACTTGGCATCTGTTTATCACTCTCTGTAAATAGTGGTGCTGTTTAAAGTCCAACTCACTTGTGGAGTACATATAGCAAAAAAAAAAATTCTTAGAAATGACATCCCAACTAGGAAGGGACTTACAGGATGTAGGTGATGACTCCAATAGACCAGCAGTCAACGGCTTTGCTGTAGGGTTTCTGGGCCAATACTTCAGGGGCTGTGAGGAAATACTGATTATTAGAAACAACTTGGTTTTAAAATGGACCTTTTTTATTCTCTTAAATGTCCTTGGATTTATTGTGCAATATTTTTTTTAAATCAGTGTTGTTAACTACAACTAAAACTATTACAAATATTTTTTGTTAATTGAAATAAAGCGTAACTAAATTAAATATAAATATCAGATGAAAAGCTTCGACTTCAACTTATTTTATTTCAGTTATTTGCAAAGGCAACATTTCAAATTGTACCAAATTTAAACTTAAATAAAAAATAAATGAAAGCTAAATAGAAATATTAAAACTAACAACAACAACAAAAACATACATAGAAAAGCACTTAAAGGATTAGTTCGCCCCAAAAATGGAAAATTAGCCCATCAATTCCTAGGTTTATATGACGTTCTTCTTTCAGACGAATCCAGTCGGAGCTATATTAAAAATAGTCTTTGATCTTTCAAGCTGTTTAACGGCACTCAGCAAGTATTGCAGTGCTTCAGTCCAAAAGAAGTGAAATAAAAAGCGCCCATCCATAAAATAAAGTGTCTCACAAAGGCCTCCTGTAGCGAATCGATGCGTTTTTGTAAGAAAAACAACCATATTTAAAGCGTAATAATCACTTTAATGTAGCTTGCGCCAACACTTGTACACGGAAGCAGCTCCGGGCAGATGACGTATGAGGTCGGCGTTGCGCATGCACCGCTCAGAAGTGACGAACGTGAAAGCACAGCGGAGAGATCAAAACAAAACAACAGTCACTTATTAGAAGTACAAAACGAGGATTTGTAAAGAAGAATGTCAGAGGATTTCGATATAAGCCAAGAGGAGACTGGTTTTACTTTGCTAAAGTAAGGAAACTTTGCTTCCTTTGCTCCTGTAAACAAACGTTGGTTTTCACGAGACTCACCGGCGCATGCGCAACGCTGACCTCATACGTCATCCTCCCGGAGCTGCTTAGTTTACAGCAGTGAGCGCAAGCTAGATTAAAGTGATTATTACGTTTTGAATATGGATATTTTTCTTACAAAAATGCGTCGATTCGCTACAGGAGGCCTTTGTTCACCCCCGGAGCCGTGTGAGACACTTTTTATTATGGATGGATGCTTTTTATTGAACTTCTTTTGGACTGATGCATGCAACACCCGCTGAGTGCCATGAAACAGCTTGAAAGATCAAAGACAATTTTTTATATAAATCCGACTGGACTCGTCTGAAAGAAGAAAGTCATATACACCTAGGATGACTTGAGGGTGAGTAACTTATAAAATACCTACAATTTTAACTAAAACTAAAATGAAAACTGAAAATATTCAAATAAAATCATATTAATGTATGTATAAATACCATACTGCATTAATAGATATTAATAAATATTATTTTATATCTTTATATAGTTTATAAATAATACTAAAATAACACTTGTTTTCATAATATTTAATCAAAATGCCTAAAATTTAAACTATAATTAAAAAGAAAAGTTATAAAATTAAAGCATATTAACATATGTACATATACTATAGCAGTTAAATAATACTATAATGTTTTTTAATCTACTAAGTATTAACCAGATATAATAACTTTCTTTGTCTTTATAAAATTGTCATAATATGGACAATGCCGATATTGTGGACTGCTGTGTAACAATTAAAGTGGAACATAATAAGAATGCTTTTGTAATTTTGAATGTGTATACTCCTTATGGATGTTGTCAAAATGAAGATGAATATATCAGTAGGCTTCCTTTTTTAAGTTCTTTTATCAAGGAATGTGTATATGCATGTATATTTGTAGTAGGGGACATGAATGCCAATATATCTGATGAGAACTCTTTGTTAGGTCAACATCTAATTAGGTTTTGCCAAGATAGCAAGTTGGTTTTATCTAGGCAAAAATTGTTACCAATAGATCGTTATACATATATCAGTGAAGCATGGAATGCAACATCTTGGCTGGATCACTGCATATGCACAGCTGATGATCGTCTAGAAAAACTTGAGATATTGTATGACTTGGTCACAACAGACAATATACCTGTCTTTATGGTGTTAAATGTTGAAAGTTTACACGAGTTGAGCAATTATGATAATTATGAGCATCGTGGAAAATTAGACTGGGCATCAACAGAGAAGAGTTTAAGTAATATAGGTGTATCAACTGAGGCTATCATGTGTGATAATGTTAGTTGTAAGAATCCTAAACATATTTTTTTCGTATTCTCGTAAATTTTACATGTGCACAGATGATGTTAAAATAGCACTTTTTAGAGCTTTCTGTACTTCATTTTATACGGCACATTTATGATAAAGCTCAAATGCATGAAGCATTCTGCTTAAGCTCCCAAGGTGGATAAGCGCAAAACCAGTCTTAAGTCGCTGGGGTATATTTGTAGCAATAGCCAAAAATACATTGTATGGGTCAAAATTATCGATTTTTCTTTTATGCCAAAAATCATTAGGATATTAAGTAAAGATCATGTTCCATGAAGATATTTGGTAAATTTCCTACCGTAAATATATCAAAACTTCAGTTTTGATTAGTAATATGCATTGCTAAGAACTTCATTTGAACAACTTTAAAGGCGATTTTCTCAATATTTATATTTCTTTGCACACTCAGATTCCAGATTTTCAAACAGTTGTATCTCAACCAGATATTGTCCTGTCTTAACAAACCATACATCAATGAAAAGATTATTTATTCAGCTTTCAGATTATGTATAATTCTCAATTTCGAAAAATTGACACTTAAGACTGGTTTTGTAGTCCAGGGTCATAAATGTTTGTATCTAGTGATATTCCTACTTTGCATGCTGTGTTAAGGAATTATATGTATAATTTCATGTGTCGATTAAGTGATTCAAGAAATACATTCATATAACGGTCTTAAATGATCCCACATTAAGTGAACTGGAAGCACTGGAATTCAAGTTTGTATGCTTTTTAAATAGTGTTTGATGTATGTAAATGTATGTTTGTATGTAGTTTTCTTCTTTACTTTTATTATTGTGATATGGACCTACGGGTCTGAAATAAAGAAAGAATAATATTACACTATTACAGCACATAAACCAGTCAAAGTACTACAGTATTTTCCACTGAATACCGTGTATCACTCAGAGAAACAATACATTACTGAAGTTTAACATTTTGTGAATGTAGTTTCATGATGCCTTAAAAGACAACGAATCTGCGTATGTGTCCTTTCAGTTTTATAGATGTATCTCTTGTGCTTTGACATTCACTGGCTGTTTAAAACCCCGTTTGTTTGACATCATTCTTACCGACATATCCTGGAGTCCCACAGGCCGTGGACATGATGCCATTATCTTCCATCTTAGAGAGGCCAAAATCACTGATCATGATCTTAGAGTTTTCATCAGGGCTGTAGTAGAGCAGATTCTCTGGCTGTAGAGAGAATACAGACGCAGAAAGTCCATGTTTTGTGGTTTATCTGAAGTATTGCATATGCATACGTTCGTGTGAATGTGGCGACTCTGTACCTTGAGGTCGCGGTGGACTATGCCGTTTTTGTGCAGGTAGCCGACTGCCTCCAGCACCTGTCTGATGACCAGACTAGCATCAGCCTCTGAATACATGCCCCGGTCCAGGATCCGGTCAAAAAGTTCACCACCTGAAACGCTGACGGGATATGAGCAATGTAACAGCAAAGATTACACAAAGACACAAAGACATTTGAAGTAACGGGTTCCAGTGGGTGTTAATACAAATAAAGGTGCTTACAGCTGCATGAGCAGGTAGTAATGCGTCCGACTTTCATAGAAATCCTCCAAGCAAACCACATTGTCATGTTGGATCCTATATGACAACAGATTCATAAGTTAGAAGATGGTTATGTCGGTTTAACATTGGATACATGTTGTTGAACATGCATTTTCAATGTTCTTATTGGATTTGATTTGATTCTCAGTCTCTGTTTCCTTTCAAACTATAATCCACACGACTCCAGTCCATCAATTAACATACTGTGAAAAGCTGCATGTTTGTACGAAACAAATCAATCATTAAGATGTTTTAGTTTTAAACCGTTGCCTCGAGCTAAAATATGATTCCTCATATTCCATAATAACGCTTTGTCCATTGAAAAAGTCGTCTCATCTGAATCAGGAGAGAAATATGCACAGATCAAGCATAGTTTATAAGTCAAAACAGTTCTAAACCGATATGCGATTGGATTTTGATGTGAGAGGACAACAGGAGATAAACTTTTTCACTGTGTTTTTATGGATTATGGCCTCGTGTTTTGGCCAGAAGCGACGGTTTGAAGTTAAAAACATCTTAATGATGGATTTGTTTCTTAAAAACAAGCAGTTTTTCACTTCATAAGATGTAAACTGATGGACTGGAGTGGTGTGGATTACGTGTGTATTACTGTGATGTTTTTATCAGCTGTTTGGACTCTCATTCTGACGGCACCCATTCACTACAGAGCATCCATTAGTGAGCAAGTGACGCAATGCTAAATTTCTCCAAATCTGTCCTGATGAAGAAACAAACTCATCTACATCTTGGTTGGCCTGAGGGTGAGGACATTTTCAGCAAATTCTCATTTTCGCTTCCTGTAAGATTTTTACATCTCAGCTTTTTACACACAGTTGGTTTCATCCAGTCTTACTTCCTCAACACGGCGATTTCATTCTCCAGGTTGACGTCCCTTTTGTTTTTCTTCTTCATACACTTCATAGCAAAAAGCGTCCCTGTTTTTCTCTCCTTCACCATGAAGACCTCTGAGAACGCTCCCCTGGAGAAAGCAGAGAAAGAGAGATGAGGTAAGGTCAAATGTGCAATTACCTGGGATAATGTTTTTCTCCATGGATCTGAGAGAGAGAGAGCATGATCTTGGTTTATGTGATGCTGGTGTGGCTCTTCCCCCTGAGAGCAAAGCAGGTTTTAATGAAGGTGAAGATGTGACCTTTTAAACCTTTGTCCAGACCTCAGCGCCGCAATGCAAGCCATCTATTTAAGTGCATGTAGCGTTGCCAGCACATGAAAGGTACATGTGAAAGTGGCCAGGGCTCTGAGGAGATGAAATAATGTGTGAAGCGATTACTATTAGTGCAATTGATTTTATCAGGTAAACACATTTGATGATACACACAAATCCTGTAGACATAGCGACATGTAGACATTTTTTTAGAACATTTACTACTTAAAATAAATATTAAGAGAATATATCTTGAAAATAATACAGTATAATTTGAGTGTAAACCTCACTAAATATATATATATATAAAATATTTTAACATTTACTACTTAAAATACACTGTGATTTTTTAAAAGATATATTCTCTTAATATTTAGAGGGTAAATCTTACTAAATTATTTTTAATTGTATAAATTTTTTTAATAGCATTTACTACTTAAAATAAGTATTAAAATATATATCTTCAGTGTATTTTGAGTGTACACCTCACTAAATGTATTATTTTTAACTGTATAAAATTTCTATAATACGTGCTACTTAAAACATAAGCAATTTTTGCAGTGTAGGTATTCATTGAGATAACACTGAATTGGTAATGCTTGGTTGAAATCACGCCTATTACAAAAGAAGTGCTACATCACACATGGCTTCCGACAATCAATCTCAGCCTCCCACGCACAAATGAAGCGGCACGAAACAACCGTCTCCCTGACACCACCAGCATCTAACACATATTCCCACAACACCATATTCCTGCACTGAATGCAAAAGCGTGTTTTCCTTCACTCACAGTCATGAGTGAAAAATCCTTTAGAAAGTCCTGAATTCAGTAACCACCATGGATTTCAATGAATGTATGACTAAATAAATAATAAAAACTAAATATAGCTCAAACTGAAGGTCAGTGCACAGAATGTGCCCAGAAACCTGCCACTGAAATACATAAAAACATGATTTCCTCAGAATCTGTGGCTCACCAATATAAGCCAATTTTAGATGCCGTACTTCATCCTGCTGGATCCAATAGAAGCCTGCTGAGGGATTTTGGGAATTTAATTCAAGTTGTTTTTGCCAGTTGAAACCACTGTGATCAACTCCCCACAGCCCATAATGTCCCACTGGTGTCACGAACACCCATAGGCAAGGGCCGGTTGTGACAGAGCTCTCTAGACCTGAAACTAGATCATTATCTCGCTTTATAGGACCTGTGTGAATTGTAAAGTCAGATTTTTGGTTTTTAATTCACAGCTAATATTTGAGGACAAAGTGATTTTCAATTACAATACATATCTTTAAAAGCCATTTTCTCAAAATTAGTTGGTTTTTTTCTCCACTTCAGTAGTGCTTATTAGAATGTCGTGGAAAAGTTCATTTATTTCAGTAATTCAACTCAAATTGTGAAATTTATTCCTCTCTATACTCTGAAGGTTTTTATACTGATTTTACATTTACATTTAGTCATTTTGCAGATGCTTTTATCCAAAGCAACTTACAGTTGGGGAATACATCAAGCGATTCTTCTTAAAGAGGCAAACAGACACAGGAAGTGCTTGTAATACCAAGTTTTAGGCATTGTTCAAATAAGTACAAGCTAGAAAAGGGAAGGAATAAATAAAGAGAAAGAAAAAGTTTTTTTTTAAGATGAAGTCAAGTAAAAGTTTAAGTTAAAGAGATGAGTTTTCAGCTGTCGCTTGAAAATTGTCAGGGACATTTTATACAACATTTTATTCCTAAAATATGATGAAAATGCTTTTTTTCTGGATATTGACAGTATTTTATGATTTATATAATTTATGGAGTGAGAAAAAGAGATATCAAAAATCCCTTCTGTAACGACACTGTAAGAGATTTTTCGAAGTTGTAAATAAAGCAAAGATTATTGCAGTACGTTTTACAAGAAATTCAGTATTTCATCTTCAAAATGTTAATGTTTAATGTTAATGCTACTTGCCATTTCTTTATAATATTTTTGAAATTTATTATTCATTCTGAGTGAAAATTGGTTATTTTTTTCTTTTTAAGTAAAAAAAATGAAACAGGAATGTTCAGATATTCAATGTTAAGATTACTGTTCTAGAAATGTATGCAAAGTAGCACATATGTAATTAGATAATACCTCGTTTACACATAACATTTTAGAAAACTTAATACCAAAAAACAACAAAAAACAAAAATGCAATTATTAATTTCATCAATCAAGTGAGAGCGTATAGTCATATTTGTTAGTTACATTTTTACCATATTCACCTGGGGTGTCTTGCCTTAATTCATGAAAATAATCAAGTATAATAACTTGCACACACACACACACAAAATAAAATAAAAAATCAGCATCAAAACAATAAACAGCACATTGCAGGCCATGTCCGGTAGATTATTGCAAATCTGTCTCTATCCCGTTAGCCGTTCCCTGACGCCTGTGATCCCTGTTCTTGTCTGCCAAAGCAATTAACACACCCTGGTCTGGAAGTGTCTTAACCTGTGCTTTACCCTTGATTCACCTACAGACCAATTCAATGAGAACGACAGACGCAGGGTGACCTGAATGCTGCACTCTCAGAAAAAAAGGTACAAAAGCTATCACTGGGGCGGGATCTTTTCAAAAGGTACAACTTGGACCTAAAGGGTTCATACAACTAAAGTGTACATATAAGTACCTAAAAGGTACAAAAGTGTATATTTTGAAAAGGTACAACCACAGTCACAGCTTTTGTACCTTTTTTTCCCCTGAGTGCACAGACTGAATAAAACTCAACATCAGCCAATCAAACAAAGACAGAGACATTCAAATCCCACTGTAGCTGATCATTTAGTCATGAATGGAAACATGATAAGGTCCCAAATAACTGTTTCTGACTCTTGTGCTGATCTCATAGTGTCTGTCTTCATGGACAACAGCCTTGACGAAACATTATTCTGCTTGGGGATCGCTGTACAGTCAGCAAAGAAAATGTACAGCTGCTCGTGTCTGCTGAGCTCGTAGTCTAGTCAGCTTTCTGCAGCCGCAATGACATCACAACCCATTCAGGACAGCAGGGCCGGATCACCGGTGTCTGCTTTACCGTCTGAGACCTGTTATGTTGCTCAGATGGGATAATGGCTTTGAGATTACACATTTAAACAGCTTATTCACAATCTAAATCATAATTCATTTTTATTCAAGGTGATGAAGCATCATCAAACAGAACTGAAATAATGTTTTCTGAGAGGATCTGCCTCCTATTGGCTGGTCAGATAGATTGCAATTGTTTGAGTCCATGTTTTGATATCATCATCATCATCATCATCACAGACCAGTAGTGTTACACTTTTCAATGGAATCAGTCTGCGAAAGGTTTACATGGCTCTGCGTATTAAACTTAATAAAAATGAATATAAATATCAATAAAATCACAAACACATTTAATTCGGTAAGTTATTTTCTTTATCAAATTGCTGCAAATCACAAAACAAGGCTCAAAACGTCAAGACTCAGTTAAAGCTGAATGCTTATGAGCTTTTTCTGAATAAACCGCTAATCTCCCAAATGCCAAGACTTTAAACTTTTAATTACCATAAACCACTAAAGGCCAGTGTAAAGCGCGGTCAATCCTTTACCGGGTGCACGGGTGAGCAAAAACAGCTTTCTTGGAAATGTCTCTAACACACTTAAAATATATTTTTTTTTTACATTTTTGAGGAGCAAAATTTTTTTTTATTTTTACTTTTACACTTTCTTATCTAAAAATTCTTTTATATACTTATTTATTATCTATAAGTACATTTAAACTAAACTGGAATTTTTTGTATCTATTTAACCTGTAAAAAAGATTTAAACTATAAAAAAACAGATTATTGGTGCATGTTTTACAAAAAATATATATATTATGTCAGTCTTTCTACTTTAAAATTTCACGTTTAATTCAATCTGTTACTTGCTGGTTCTTTGTAATTCTAATTGTAAAATTTACTAGCAAATTCTAATTAAAAATTGTTTCTACAAAATATTGGCTATTAAGTTACTAGAAATTTTTTACAAATAATTACAAAGAACTTTTTTTTTTAATTACAAAGAAATATTTTAATTAATCAATTTTCAAATGAAATGAAATCTTGTAAAATGAACTCCAACATACTCCAATAATCTGATTCATTTACAACTTCGAAAAGTCTTTTTTCATTTTTTTACGGTGTACTTTGTTCAAATAAAATTGCACCCGTGACATAAATTCTGTAAGGATATATTTACTTCCAAAAACTTAAGCTTATCAAATGAATAATAATAAGAACTAAATGTGTACTTACGATCCGAGCACCTCCATGAATTCAAACACATCCTGGATGTTATCCGTGCTCTTTTTCCATACATAGTCGCCCTCCTTTCGCCCCATTTCTGCGTGAGCTTCGACAGGGATTTCTGGAGAGAATAAAAAAAAAAAAGAACATAAAAGATTTATAAAGTGACCAACAAAGACGTACGTTCATTATATGTTTGATCTGTTCTGAAAAAGTGAGCAATAAATCAAAGATTTGTGAAAATACCTTTACTTGCAGCCAAAACAATCCCTAATATTCCAGGAGCCATGAGGCCTGATTTATAATATATATATATATATATATATATATCCAATTCAAATTAAAAATCAAGATGAAACTCGAGATCAAAACTACTTTGCATCCTTTAGGGTTCCTAATATAATACAGAATCCAGCTTAGTCTCTCTGACGAAGTCTCAGCTACTGAAGGACAGTCGACGCTTCTCTCCTGATTGGATGTCTGTTCATCTATCAGCCTGTTTTAGTGTGCCACTGACCTGTGATGCCCTGTTTAAAATCCCCGAGCTTCTCATTGGCTGTCCTACACGACTAAGACGGTCGTCAGAAAACGCTAATCAGGTTTTGGCTGGTCAGTGTACAGACACGTATATGTGCGTCTTAATACTGGCGTTTAAGTGACTTATGAGATTCCTTTATGATTGATGGCACATTTATAAAGGAAATATCTCTGATTCTATTTGAACTGGAATATGGAGTTGGCAGGTGGATTCTGTCCAAACGACACGTCTTGCATGTCCAAACCCAACACAAAGGTGTCCAGATGCATCAAATGATTGAATGCATTTGATAAAGTCATCATCTTCAACAAAACACATCTAGAAAACGGAACAACCCAGCAACTGCACACAAAGACGGCAGAAATTGCCAGCATATGTGGAATGAGTGGCTATTTTCCACCATGTTTCCTGTGTTTATTTTGAGGTTTCTTCAAAAAAAGGTGTTCAAATATAAAGACAGTCTAATAGATTTGTCTTCCAACATAAAAAAAGACTTCTCTGGGATTAGCAGTACTGAGTTCTGGTAAGTTAAGAGAAGTTCTGGTAAGTCTTGCTTTCATTCCGCTTATATAACAGGTTAAAGACTCTGATCTTCTGAGTCGACCTTAAAACAATTCACCACCTGACTTCAGAAGGTCAGTTGCATTTTATTAACTTTAAAAGGCAAAAATATCATCAATTTGTCACTAAAAGTGTCACAGAGTACCACAAGGTGGAGAAAACCCTATGAAATGGAGTATTTTGTAGCCTATTATAGTAGACCACTAATAGACTTCTTAATAAACAAATTAGGTAACCTAAAGAGAAAAGGAACATCCAATTAAGAGGTATAAATGGACTACAGCTCTCAAAGAACACAAGGACTCAGGTGACCTTGCATGGTTGCATGCAGTCATTATCAACATAACACACTCTTAAAATGCTGGGTTGTTTCAACCCAATTTCGGGTCAAATATGGACTAACCCAACTGTTGGGTTCAATTTTGGTTACATTTTTAAATTCACTTTTTAACCCAACAGTTGGGTTAGTCCATATTTGACCCAAAATTGGGTTGAAACAACCCAGCATTTTTTAGAGTGCAGACAGTAATATCTATGTAGATTTATAAAAAAGGGACTGATCAAAAAATTAAAAAAGTAAATAAATGAAGCTTACATTAAAATTGAGGCATGACAATTTATTAAATTCATAAACTGTGGTTGCCAGATACAAATATTAATGATTAAAATTTAAATGAATATACATTTTAATTGAAGATAATAATCTAAAATATTATATTCATTTAAATAAGTTAAATTCAAATTTATAAAATTACAAATATATTAATAACTAAATTTAAAAAAGTTGAAAGTTATTAACTTTTTTAAAATTATTAATAAATTAGAATAGTCTTTTTTTCTCAGAAAAATGTAATAAAACATACTTTATAAAACTACAAATATATTAATAATTAAATGTGCAAAATATTTTTAATAAAGATAAATATGAAAAATATCCAATCTATAAAATATTCAATTAATAATAAATTAGAATAAAACAGAATTTAATGAAAATGCATTTTAATTAAAATATTTCAAATAAAAATATTTTTTTAAATAACTATTTTCAAAAGGTTCAAAACAAAGAGAACTCCCATCACAATATATACTTGGAATTAACAATCATATAATATTTACAATATTGCAGAAAATTCTAACACTGCCTTGATAAACCCACAATTTTCACCATATGTGGTTAGATAACAGTAATCATTGGACATAAACAGTTTGCTCATCTCTCCCTTTGTTTCTCTCTGTTTTAAATTATTATATTAAAAAGCATATTGTAATGGAAAACATTGCAAAATAATCAATGCAAAGTTGTTGTTTTACACTTGCTCACATAAGAACATCATTCTGAACTTGCCTGGCTTTGTCTTTACAATGCAGCCCTTTTATTGTACAGTGCGTCTGTGTGGACTAACCTCTCATATTTGCCTGGTGAGCAACATAAACATGCAGCTCAGCACGGATCATTAAATGCATGCATGCAGCGCATGTCCCGCACTGTAAAAAAAATCTGTGACATTTACGGTAAAATACCGGCAGCTGTGGTTGCCAGAAATTCACCATTAAAAATATGGTAGAAACATTTTAGGTTTTACAGACTTAACTTAAATTCACAATAAAAAAAACATTTTATTATCTGATGTAATGTTAATAAACCAGCATAATGAAGTACTAATATCTGTTTTAAACCATTGAAATGCTGATAACCACCAAAACCAGGTGGTGATGAGAAAGTCACATGATGAATCAAAGCTCATCACAAACAGCTCTTCCACAAGCTGAGAAGGGAAATACTAATATATATATAGAGAAGGTGCACAGTGTCATTCACACAAACACTAAACACCAACATGGTAACACACATGATACTGAAATAATGCAATAAACATTAATTTAACAACATTAGATGTAAGATAAAACACTAATGTACACAACTGATAAGAAAAGCTAAGAAGAAACAGTTATTTCAACGAAAAAACAAAATATGAAGTGTCATGCAGGGAATTCTGGGAGTGTCAATTTACAGTTTTTCACAGTAAATTATACAATGACTTTTTCGTTTTCACTTCCAAAAACCGTAAAAAAAAAAAAAAACAGTATTTTACTGTCAAATTACATTAAATGTAATTACAGTTATTCACCGTATATAGTATGGAAAGCTACTGATAACCAATTAACAGGTTTTTACTGTAGCAGTTTTACAGTCTTTTACTGTTAAAATCACAATCATTTTTTACAGTGCGGCGCGAGATGTCCCATACACCTCAGTAACTGACGACGGGCGCTAATCTGTTCTTGCACAAACCAGCGCGCACCTTCAATGTGCATGTGATGCATTAATCAATCATCTTTCACAACGTGCATACTGATGCATGCATGGTTGATTATTTTCCAGCCAGTTTTTGACCTTACCTTCGGGTCTGTAACAACTCCAGCACGATCTTTGTCTCTTGCAGAAACAACCGAGGCTCAAGCAAGGACAGCAGTAACAAAGAATGACATGCGAGGAGAGAGGATGCTGCGCAGATCTCAACGAAACAGACATTTGCAACGCGTCCGAAATGCAAAGATGCACATTCCTGTGCAATTAATGCAGTGTTATCGGTTCGCAAAAATCTGTCATATGCAGTGTGCATTTACCCTGCAAATCACTCACAGTCATCAATCCAAGAGAAGTTGATTTCTTCATCAATTGTTGCGTGCACTCAAACAAAACTGTCAGATAAACAGTCTGATGAAAAAAATTACACTTTAAATTACAATATCCATGTATTGCATGCAAATATAATTGATTACAATAATTGCACGTTAACATGAACATAGTAATTTAAAGTCTGACCTGTTTTCTAGCAGCAGCAGTCTGGGACAGTAATCGGCTTTACTCGGGTCAGCGTCCCGTCCTTTGACTTACCTAGAGGCAAGTGCGCAAAAGATGCCCCGCTCTGACTCTCCAGCCAAAAGCCCGCAGCAGTCTGGACAGATGAAGCCCGTCGAGCGGCGCACAAATAACCAACAGGTTGGAGATTACATGAGCCGAATGAAGGAGGAGCGGCCAGATTCTCAAGGACTGTCTACATGTGATGTTATCTTACAATGGACAAAATAAACCCGTCAAATTTACTGTATAAAAGCTGTGCTTCCCAGCACTTTGCCATAAAAAACTCGGTCGCAACATTTTTGGTTTAACTAGACTGAACGGTAAAAACTGTAGGCTATATTTAATTAACTACTGACAATATGCCATCCTAATAAAATCTATTTTGTACTCGACTTCTAGAATATAACGATAACCACTGTAATAACAGTTATACATGAGACACAATAAGCTAATCGCACACAAATATCCATAACACGAGCTGAAGTAAATACTTAAAGGCATAAAAAAATAGGCCTAAACATGGTCATGGTAACAAAATTGACACTAAAATAAACCAATAAAATTGTTGCGTGCACTCAAACAAAACTGTCAGATAAACAGTCTGATGAAAAAAATTACACTTTAAATTACAATATCCATGTATTGCATGCAAATATAATTGATTACAATAATTGCACGTTAACATGAACATAGTAATTTAAAGTCTGACCTGTTTTCTAGCAGCAGCAGTCTGGGACAGTAATCGGCTTTACTCGGGTCAGCGTCCCGTCCTTTGACTTACCTAGAGGCAAGTGCGCAAAAGATGCCCCGCTCTGACTCTCCAGCCAAAAGCCCGCTGCAGTCTGGACAGATGAAGCCCGTCGAGCGGCGCACAAATAACCAACAGGTTGGAGATTACATGAGCCGAATGAAGGAGGAGCGGCCAGATTCTCAAGGACTGTCTACATGTGATGTTATCTTACAATGGACAAAATAAACCCGTCAAATTTACTGTATAAAAGCTGTGCTTCCCAGCACTTTACCATAAAAAACTCGGTCGCAACATTTTTGGTTTAACTAGACTGAACGGTAAAAACTGTAGGCTATATTTAATTAACTACTGACAATATGCCATCCTAATAAAATCTATTTTGTACTCGACTTCTAGAATATAACGATAACCACTGTAATAACAGTTATACATGAGACACAATAAGCTAATCGCACACAAATATCCATAACACGAGCTGAAGTAAATACTTAAAGGCATAAAAAAATAGGCCTAAACATGGTCATGGTAACAAAATTGACACTAAAATAAACCAATAAACAATAATTTAACAACATAAGATGTAACATTAAAGGGGTCATATGATGTTGCTAAAAAGAACAGTATTTGGTGTATATGGTGTAATGAAATGTGTTTATGCGGTTTAAGATAAAATTAAAAAACACATTATTTTCCACATACTGTATATTATTGTTTCTCTCAATGCCCCGCCTTTTTGAAACGCGTCGATTTTTACAAAGCTCATCGGTCTGAAGAGCGAGGTGTGCTGTGATTGGCCAGCTATCCAGTGCATTGTGCAATACCTCAAGTGTGTGACGGAAATGTTATGCCCCTTACTATTTTGTGATGATGCCCTGTCCGGCCGGAGCGACGAGACAAAAACATTAAAACTCATTATAAACGAGGCATTCGTTGCATCCAGTGGGGACATAATTAAGGATTATAATGATTTATACTGTCTTTTTACGCTTGCGTTGCATCCGGTGATCGACAGCGCAAAGTTGTAGTAGTAACCAGCACAGATCAGCTCCAGGCATGACAAAGCAGATATCGTCCTCTTTTGGAAGACCAAACAAAGTAGCGTCACACACAGCGTCTTTACGACATGGCAGTGGAAACAACAAAACTACAGCGAGAATAAAAGTTACGCCTTCTTTCTTTGCGTGAACATTTGGGTGGCGTTATGCAAATCTTCCCACAGAGTGACGTAGGTATGTTGGAGCATGTTAGAATGAGCCGTTTTAGGTAGACGTGGTTGACTCTTAACTTTTATAAAGAATATCTCTTTGGATTTGAGACTTTAGTCTTTGCAACTTTACAGATCTTCTTTATGCACCAAGAGCTTGTAACACTCCAAAGAGAAAGGAAAAATTTAAATCGCATCATATGACCCCTTTAAACCCAAACATACATAATTAGTAACAAAAACTAACAAGAAACATAATAATTAAAAAAAAAAACATACCATTAAACAATTAATTTGAGCAGGGATGGAATTGTTGGAAATGTCAGTTAATTATTAGTTTTTCCCCCCAATATTTAACTTTTAAAATGACACTTTTTCTTAACTCTATGGAAATTTGCACTGTGAGTAATGGTTACAAATGGTTCAGTTGACGGTAGCCATTGACTTCCATAATAGAACAACTACTATGCAAGTCAATGCCCACCGTCAACTGTTTCTTCAGAATATCTTATTTTAAGGTGAACAGAAGAATCATTCAGGTTTGGAACAAGTGGAGGGTGAGTCAATAATGACAGAATAATGTCATTTTTGGGTGAACTAACACTTTAACCAGTGGGTTTTTCAATGGACTTCTCAATACAAATATCTGAAGCATTTAAAGCTTTAACATTTTATGACAGCACGTACCATGTACACAAAATTGCTTTTAGAAATTAATACTATATGCGTTAACTGGCTATCAGCAGATTAAAACTGACACTAGGTGAACCATTAAAATATGGTGGAAACTGCATTAAAATAAACCAAAGTTAATTAGTGTATTTTCTGAAAATGTGAGTGCGTTTGCATGTGCATAACTCCCACGCTGCAAAGCCACGGCACTGCTTTTTGGTTGCTAAGTGGTATTCAGCTTGGCAAGAAAAACCATCTATTTAGACAAACATTCATAAGGCATTACACAGATGTGTGAGTGATAGCAATGGTAGTGCAACTACAGCTTCATTGCACTAATGCATGTGAACGTCACAAAAAATGTCACTTTTCATACCAGAATCATAAAGAATAGCCAGTCAGCATGAAACAGTTATAAAGCAAGACAATGTAGATCACTTCTGCACAACAACAGTTACCAGGAAGAATATGAGCCAGCGTTCATGTACTCGTCTCAGTGTCATTAGAGCGAGTTTATGGGATTACTGAAGGCTTTAGCAAATGCACACTGTCTTTTTGAATCACACACTAAATCTGAAGCCACCGAAAAGTCATTACTAAAATGAAAACGCTCAGTCAGTTGTGATGGGCCACATCGGGGTTTTGTTTTGCAGCGTCCCATGAGTTCAAGGGTGAGGTTATTGCATGCGACCTGTTGGGCAAGTCATGATAATCTCACAATACACAGCATGACACTTCCTCCTTTAATAGGCTTGAACAAATCTCAGGCGGGGATTTTAGTCGTCCTGTTACTGAACGTTACGACATTAAAAAACATACCCCATAATATATGTATATTTTGAATGTAGATGTAATGGTTTACTGGCAGATTTAGACACATCAACTAATTCTTTATTTGACATTTTATAATAATAGTATTTTTAAAAATTCGACAAAATGTACAATTTCTCAAATTTAATTGTAAAAAAAAAAGCAAATTCAGATTTTATAAGCAAATTCAGTAGTTGGACTAATTTGGGTGGCGTTATGCAAATCTTCCCACAGAGTGACGTAGGTATGTTGGAGCATGTTAGAATGAGCCGTTTTAGGTAGACGTGGTTGACTCTTAACTTTTATAAAGAATATCTCTTTGGATTTGAGACTTTAGTCTTTGCAACTTTACAGATCTTCTTTATGCACCAAGAGCTTGTAACACTCCAAAGAGAAAGGAAAAATTTAAATCGCATCATATGACCCCTTTAAACCCAAACATACATAATTAGTAACAAAAACTAACAAGAAACATAATAATTAAAAAAAAAAACATACCATTAAACAATTAATTTGAGCAGGGATGGAATTGTTGGAAATGTCAGTTAATTATTAGTTTTTCCCCCCAATATTTAACTTTTAAAATGACACTTTTTCTTAACTCTATGGAAATTTGCACTGTGAGTAATGGTTACAAATGGTTCAGTTGACGGTAGCCATTGACTTCCATAATAGAACAACTACTATGTAAGTCAATGGCTACCGTCAACTGTTTCTTCAGAATATCTTATTTTAAGGTGAACAGAAGAATCATTCAGGTTTGGAACAAGTGGAGGGTGAGTCAATAATGACAGAATAATGTCATTTTTGGGTGAACTAACACTTTAACCAGTGGGTTTTTCAATGGACTTCTCAATACAAATATCTGAAGCATTTAAAGCTTTAACATTTTATGACAGCACGTACCATGTACACAAAATTGCTTTTAGAAATTAATACTATATGCGTTAACTGGCTATCAGCAGATTAAAACTGACACTAGGTGAACCATTAAAATATGGTGGAAACTGCATTAAAATAAACCAAAGTTAATTAGTGTATTTTCTGAAAATGTGAGTGCGTTTGCATGTGCATAACTCCCACGCTGCAAAGCCACGGCACTGCTTTTTGGTTGCTAAGTGGTATTCAGCTTGGCAAGAAAAACCATCTATTTAGACAAACATTCATAAGGCATTACACAGATGTGTGAGTGATAGCAATGGTAGTGCAACTACAGCTTCATTGCACTAATGCATGTGAACGTCACAAAAAATGTCACTTTTCATACCAGAATCATAAAGAATAGCCAGTCAGCATGAAACAGTTATAAAGCAAGACAATGTAGATCACTTCTGCACAACAACAGTTACCAGGAAGAATATGAGCCAGCGTTCATGTACTCGTCTCAGTGTCATTAGAGCGAGTTTATGGGATTACTGAAGGCTTTAGCAAATGCACACTGTCTTTTTGAATCACACACTAAATCTGAAGCCACCGAAAAGTCATTACTAAAATGAAAACGCTCAGTCAGTTGTGATGGGCCACATCGGGGTTTTGTTTTGCAGCGTCCCATGAGTTCAAGGGTGAGGTTATTGCATGCGACCTGTTGGG